GGTAGTAAGATAAAGCAGAATATGTTTTTTATATTTTTTCTGAAATGAAACACACCGAAAGTCCTGAATAAAAGGTCACAAAGTCTGCTCTCTTCTTTCACTCTCTTTATTGAAATCAAATTAAAATTACCTAGTAGTTAACTTTGCATAATACGAATTTACCTGGCCTGCCAATGAGAACTTAGTTAATAACGAGACGGCGACCTAGTTCCATGTACTGAAAAGCCCAGCGTTTTGTGACTACGGAAGCGGCCAGCCACTACCTATTTGCAAGAGCTAAAAGCTCCCGTACATAACCTATGTAATATAAATATAAGGTATTAATATTAGCATAATACTGATTTAAGAAAATAGCGGTCATAAAATATCGCTTACTACACCGAGTTGTACAACAAAAAGGTCATATGTTAGAGTCTAGCCGACAACAAAGAGTATATTATATAAAATTATATTTTTTGTACCGCTCCGGGGCCGAAGCATCAATAACAAACCAAATTAATCCAAGAGACGGCAAGGTGAAGGGTTCGACACCAGCCCAGCATCGTTGATCTGAAATATACTCGCTAAATATGTGCATATCGAGAGCTGCGGTCGTCACGATTGAAATTTACGATCTGGCGTTACAGACATAAGGCATATTTTGATCTAGCATGTTGAAGAATTAATAAAATTCGTTATACCCTCTAATTAGACTTTGTTCGTTTGAACTTGTTACCGTCTGGCTAGCGTATACATTAGTACTAAGACTAACCCTAGGGCTAGAGTTTCATATGAGGGGAGACTCGTGCCCTGGAGTTCTGTTATTACCATAGAAGCAAAAGTTTAATATTATAAACCCATGTTTTACATTCTCCGCAGTTTACATTTGAGACAAATATTATAGAGGCCTAAGTTTGTTAGTACGAATGCATAAATAGATAAGTGTCTGTTATTGTATTACCAAACAAAAATTACTGGAAAAACTGAATGACGTATGAAATTTAGTACCTGCACAGAATATATACATATATATATATATATATATATATATATATATATATATATATATATATATATATATATATATATATATATATATATATATATATATACACAGTATATTTTCGCCGTATTAACACATGGTCATTTTTACTGTTTATGGGAAAATAAGGGTTTTGTGATTGTAAGCTCTTACACCCTGAGGATGGGAAGACCTCTTGACACATTGTGTTGTTATTACGCGTAACTAAATTTATTTTTGTTAAGTACGTCAGTTTTTAATACATGTTTGTAGAATCCCGTCGACTTTTATGTAGTTGGGGTCGGTGACAGTTGAAAAGAACAAACAGGAAACAAAATTGTTGTTAAAATAAATATCTTAAGTATTATAGTTTAATGTATTTGAAAAGAAACGATACAAATAGGCTATGTGCGTTTGTTATTTAATTAAACTCAAAATACTTACTTTCACGGTATTAAATTCGCGGTGTATACGCGAATTTTATCTATTCGGCAGCACTACACGCGTGCTATATGACCTATGAGCCTACATTACTTGCTGATAAAGTATATGTGTAAAGAAGAGAAGAAACAGTTTTCAAAATAAACACAAGTTAAAAAGAAATCAATAGGTGTCAATTGATGTCAAAACCATCGTTTATACTTTTTTCATTGATTTGCAGTACCTGACCTTTAGAGGATTTAGGTGTCTTTTTTAAGTCTCCAAAGAGTGCGATGAAATGTGGAGCATGTTATTCATAGACCTGTTTATTTATTACCAATATTGCCTTACGTTAATATTTAAAATATAACGTATGGGTAATTTTTAGGGCTCCATATAAAAAACGAACGAACGTAACTTGAGAAGGATTTTATTAACACACACATGGTCATATGATTAAAATTTTGCTTAAAATGTCACAAAGTAACATAAACATTGTTTAACAATACACAGGTATGCACAGATGTTACGACTTCGAAAGTATTGTCATTCTACAAAAAATGCATATTACTCTTATTATTCATCTTGTCTTATATATATATTTCAGTACGTAGGAGGAACTAACGGAACGAAAAATTAAGAATTTTAGGAAATTTAACGACTGTTTTAAATCGCGCCATTGACAGTTCGCGCACTCACTAAGACAAGAGAGAAGTTTTAAATAGTTTTAAGTACCTAACTGTTGCGCCAAGATCAAAAAGAAAAAAGCACATTTTCGAAATTTATATTAAATATATTGTAGGCCATATGGCGTAATGAAACACAAAATATATACATTTTTCCAATGTTCTTTCATTCCAAAATTTTAATCTGGGGCTGTTTGTTTATGTTATGAAATATTTAATTCATAAGATTTTAAGAATTCGAGTGAATTAATAGGTGATTGTTGAAATGACACGAATAATACTATCGAAAAACTTGCTTATTTTTGCGGCTATATGTTCTAGACTAGTAAATTAGACATCTATTGATGGCCTACAGAAGAGCCTCTAGCAATGAATAAACCAATTGCAGTGTTCCTGTCTGTCCTAGTATCATTACGCAAAACCTGAGCCCTTGGCAATATTATGCATTTGTTTGCGAAAGCCCACAGCTGAGTTGATTTCGCCCATTCTCCACAGCTCAATTTACATTTCAAATGGGACGTAGAATCTTTATACAAATACTACTATTCGATAGTGGTTGAATAAAGAATTTTTCTAAAATAAAATTGTTTTATGCCACAGAATTTTCTACTGCTGGATCAAATCAAATATTTGTCCATATTTTTCTATTACAGACACTATCGGCCTTATTACAAAAAGATAAACCTGGTTTAGCACTAGTAATAAACCATTCACCGATGTATTCCTTATTACAAAATGAAGTTTATCTCTAAATCGTGATTCGTCTATGGTCTAAAGTTAGACCTGCGATGCCCCTAGTTTAACAGTGGTCTAAATGCAAAAAGTCAAACTCCATTTTAAAAATTCTATTGTAAGTTGTAGTTTAAGGAAAAATATTTTAACTATAATTAAAAATATATTGACTAAAAATATTTAAAGCAAATTTTACGACAATAAAAATATATAAAAGACGTTATTTGTTATTTTTTCACTCATTTGACTTTGGATCGTTCGAATGATGACTATCATCATTCGAACGATCCAATAAAAATATCTCGCCGTTCCTTTTCTCCGTATAGGACTCCTACTTGTAATTTAAAACTGATTTTCAGCCTAATAGTACATTAATAAATATTATATATTAATGAAATAGTTATAATGAAGACAGAGATAAATAGAAATAAATTTATTTTTAGTTTATACATTTTTCTTTGAACTAATATTATTTTTGATCTTTTCAATTTTCTGGTAAAATGGAACGTAATTGTACGGTGACAGACATGAGTGACTGATTTCTGTATGGAATACATAATGAACGATTTAACTGTAGTATTAAGTAGTCCTCTGTTAGATCTGGATTCGTAATAATATTAGGTTTATTCCAAGTATTAACTTTAGGAATGGTTTAAACAACAACCATTTAGACCACGTTTCGTCCGAGTTTTAACAGATTTTTTGTAATAAGACCGTTTTTAAGTTTGGAATCTAGTTTGAGCCGAGAAGAACTGACAAGAAACTTTTGTTTTTGCTCTTTTCAAAATAAATTGTACATATTAGTAGTATTACATGTTCAAGTTTGAGATTTAGGGTGAATACAATTTTAGCCTGGTGGCTACAACTGTATTCGCCCTAAACATGCTAGAATACAATGGTGTATGCTATTAAATTAATATGATTAAATAAATACAATGCAATTCAAACAAATAACTTGAATAATTCAATATCTTAATATTTATAACTAGAGCCTTTTAATTATAAAATAAAACATGAATATTCTTATACAATTAATTGTTCGAATAATAACATAGTAGGTATATATACTAAAAACACAGTTGAATAGACAATCTCGTCCCCCTCGAATACGGTTGAAAAATACATATGTAAAAATGCAAACCGGACCGCGCAGCTGAGCTTTTCATGCTAATGCAATCAATGTATTCTTGCAAGCAGTTATAAAGTAATAATTCAATCACTTCGGGGGTCACTTGGTCGTCAAACTTCGCCGAGTTTTGTTGTGATGCACTGTGTATAAATTCGTTTAAATTGAGCTTATTTCTTAATTGTTATATATTTTGGTTAATTTTGGTATAGTTGTATAAGTTGTTTGTATCTAGTAGTGTATTTGAATTATAAAATTCTTGGTAGATACTACATATTTGAATTAAGTGGAGTGGAGTAATACATGAAGGAAATTGAATGTGAAATAACGGACTTATGCCAAGGACGGCATATGTTCCAGTAAATCATAGTAAAGATAGGAATCAGAATGTATGAATGGTCAAGGGTAAAGTTTGTACAGGCAAGTACCTACTTAATAATAATATTTGTATTTATGTATGTAGGTATTTTAATAAAATATGTATATTGTATGTGATGCGAAGTTCGCCGATTTGTCTTGTATATATTTATATTAAAATAATTTATTTCTCTGTAGAACTGTATCCGTTATCTAATCTGTTATCATTACCTGTGCAACTGTATTATGTAGGCTGGAGTAGATCTCTTTTAGGAATAAGTTCACCTTTGCTCATGTTACCTAAAATATTTTTTTTACATTTATATTTACAAGTTTCGGTAGATGAAATGTATTTTTGTGACGAAGCTTGTTAAAACTTCAAATTTCCATCACACATATAGTTGGTTTGTTTTAGTTTATTTAATGTAACTGCATTGGTAAACAAACTCCCGCCAAACCAGAGTATGTAGTGTAAACTTAGTCTATAAACTTGAACAGAACACGACAAAATAAATAGAAACCCACATGTCATCCTTCGTACGCCATAATTTCCCTGCCATATTTTTCAAACGGAGAGAAAGCTCGCATTGTTATTTTGCTCGACTTGTTTTTCTTTTTTATTTTCCGATGTAAGTAGAACATTGTAAAACAAGCGTGAACCGGCATTGTTTATTGGCAGGGAGTACCCGTGTGACCACTACACGGCGATCATCAATGTCACGCTCATGTGTACGGGGTGCCCACGTGCCCCCGTCCACGAGAGCGCGCTGCAACTGCTCCAACTCCTCGACAAACGGTTCTTTGGTACCGTGGGACCGCTGCCAACAGACGAGGACACCGGTAAGTCCAACATTAGAGGCAATGACGTGTTATATTCTTACTTAGATTACTGACGCTCATTTATAATTGAGAGAATTTACGAGCCCTTTAAGGACGTGTTTACAATCCGCCTCCTGAGTCCTAATGAACACCTGGGTAGACAAGCGGACGACGTTTCTTGCATATCTATTATCTTATTACGGATTTTGTTTTGTATTTATACTTATTAGCAATGACACACAAATTAAGCTAAAAATATATTTTCTAATTTTAGTTTAACAACTTCAATGAAAGTTTCGTCTGTCTGTCGAACAAAAGTAAATAAAACTTTCAATCAAATATTTAAATAATTTGAAAAGTATAATAGTTGTTTTTATTATTGTTTTTGAAAAATATAGTTAAAGAACAAAATCTGTTTCACGGCAGTTATGTTTATTCTATTTTTTTTTAATCTTATCCACTTGGTTGGTTAAATGGACCTCCAAGTAAATGGAATACCATATACCATTTGAAAATGATCTAGGTATTGTACAAATAGATCCAAAGGAAAATTATGTCTTTATATTAGTTATATTATAAAAGTAATTATTCTTAATGATTATATGTAGAAAAAATATTATTGAAAGAATATTTTAACTGCAATTTTAACTGAGTTGTAGTCATTCAGTTTTTAGTTTGTTCCATCGTCTGTAGCGTTTTGACTTTTGTTCGATCCGTGCAAGTGTACAATACAAACTGCACAATTTTTTTTTATTGGGTTTTTAATATTTATTTCATGTTTTAATTTTATTATTATAGTTGAATTATTGTTTATGATTATATTTTTATTAGATAATTTCAGTTAGGTAATTACGAAGTATTCACTGTATAGAAATCTCGTCCAAGTTTGTCATTATAATCAGTGGTCAGGATTTTTTTTATTATGTAGTATATTTGACGGCCTCAGTGGACTAGCGGTTTAGTATACTGCCTTACTTCCGATGACCGCTAATTCGATTCGTCGCACGGTACAAAAAATTTTATTCATGATCGTGACTGTTATTTATATCAATCTATACACAAGCTCTGCTTAGTTTGAGACTAGATGGCGCTGTACACAGGTGTATTATCTTCAAATATCTAATGATAATATATGATAGACTAATGTCGCCTAGATACATGAATAGCACTACAGACATCACACATTTGAATCCTGATATGACAGTTTACATAGCGAACTGCTTGGTGGCTGAAATATGTGAGACTGAGACTCACTCAGACTTTTTAAAAATGTGAAGTTCAATAGATATAAAATTATATTTTTTTAAATTGATTTGACGGATGGTTTTTAGGCATTATTATTATTATTCATAATAATTTGTTTATTTTTTTACTTTATTTGACAATGAACCAAAAATGTAATGTATCCTATATATATTTAGTCAAGGATTACTAAATATTTTATATATTGCGAATCCCTATTCGCAATATATAGAATATAGAATTTGATATAGATGTTATAGTGCGTTAGGTATATGTGCTATATGAAGGTTTGAACTGTTTACTGAATTTTATTTTTAGTTTACTTGTTTCATTACGTATTCTATTTTATGTAAATCATTTTTCTTCGAACGGCAAAACAGTCATACGCTGTTGTATTGATTTTTACAAATTTTACTTATCGATATTGTAGGTGAGCATCTAATGTGTCTAGATTTAATATTATATTGTACAGAGCAATGATTTACATTTATTCTATACATTTTACCTCACTCTGTAAACGCGTCCTTAAAAGGTGGTTTTGAGTTGTTTCAATTTAAATAGGCGAATCATGGAATGTATTATATATATATATTTATTCTTTTTTATGACACTGGAATATAAATAAAACGACAGCCCACCTAACGGAATATGGCATCCGCAAGCTTACACGACCAGGACTATGGATATCACGTAATATATGAAAATGTTGTACAGCAAACATGTTTGTGATTGCCATTCCTAAGGACTCTCTCCGTACTGGGCACATCTCATCCTTCAAGCCAAAATACAGCCTTGTAAGTTGAGTATTTCTCTTTGGAGAATTGGTGATAAGGCAAACGTTTTACATTTTACAATGCTAATGATAAGTAATGCTTCTAGTCGTTTTTATTTTGAATTGTATTTCAAATATTATTCCTTAATTCTTTTAGTTTGAGACAGATTATCTGTCCAATGTGCGTCTACCTTTACAAGACATTTCGATTTATCTTTTTAATTAGTGATTGTCTTTATCATTTCTCATGTGTGTCCACCCATGTTCACTCTCAGAGGGGAAAGCGTGTCATGTAAAGGCATATCATTTCTTCGCACAGAAAACCAAAGGAGTGTATAAAAACCACACGGATTTGTTTTCTTGAGATATTAAGGGATAAAAGACATAGTGGATAATTTTCATGTAATCTGTGGTTTTAATAATTATTTCAGATTATTGTAAGCTTTGTCTATGAGTGATTAATAGGCATAGTTTTGTATAATCTATACTATTTGTTTGCTATCTAATATTGATATTAACAATATCTTTATTGGCACATATATGTATTATTATCAATAATCTCAATATAATTGTAATCCAATGTATACATTGGATTAGAACTGTACACAAATGGCATAGGTAAATGGTGAATTGTAATTGGATAGCATTGTATTGTATGTAGGTAGTCTGTGTGAATCTACATTCAGATCGCATGAACACCTCACATCAATACTCCTAATAATCAATTCATACAATTGAACGTTTACACCATAATTAGCAATCAAATGAGATTCTTGATTGTTTATAGGTAGTTTATATTCACACATTTCAATTTAAAAATGTAAAGTTACAATAATTATTTAAAAGACCAAGTTTCATACTCGGTTTCCTTGTGATGAGACAGCTTCCCAAATACTACATTAATAAAATAAGTAATATTCAAAAGTGCTGAAATTTAATTTTATTTGAATAAAGATTATGTTTATATTAAATATGAGGGTTTATCAGAATACTCGTAGTAATAAGCCATTTGTTGGGCATATTCTTACAAATCTACTGTTAGTACTCAGTATAGAGTATAATTATTATAATTCCAACCAATCACGACTTTACATTGGAGGAGGAAATGGATCACCTCCAGAAGAAGTATAGTCCGCCGGAATTCAGGAGTTTCTAACAAGTAACATTCTATATAAAATATTTATGTGCGATATATCTCAGGTGAAATCTATAATTTACCTAGATTATTAATATATATTTTTATCAAGAAACAAAAATGGTGATATTGTGCATTTATTTATTCACATCTAGACGGGGAAGTCGAAATTATTATGTATTGAAATGTGATGAATATTTGACGAGGGGTATGTCCTTGACCTGGAGCTATATATGCAGTGGAACTTGCAGGTTAATTTGAATAAATGAATTCATACCTGATTGTAGGTTTGTGCACTCTTATTCCATTTTTGAGGTAAAATATGTTCATATATAATATATTGTTCTAATATTAATATTTTCTGTAAAAATAGGTATATCTGCATTTATTATTTGATACATGTCTGCGAGACTTGCGTTTTATACCAAACTTAACACTTGTTAAAAACTAAAGTAGAAACGACTTTCCTTTTACGAAATGGTGTTACGGTAATTGTGGCCGAAGAGGAACAATTTTATAAAACCAGGAATAATTAACGTATATATGTAAATTTCCCAAGCGGGCTCACAAACAAGTTAAAAGTGACTTATAAAAAAGAAGCATCAAAATAATACAAATATATGTAAAAAGAATGCTGGAAAAGCTGCCAGCAACAGTAGTAGGTATATATGGTAATATAAAACAAAATGTCAAAGAAAACGTGTACCTAAGTGAAAGAAAATAAGTATGTTCATATATCATCTCTGATTCTACTACCCTTCACTATTTTGTAATAAACTGGTAACACTAATGCGGAATGAGAGGAATGAATTTATAATAATTTATAATAATTTAATATTGACATTGTATGCCTCACAGAACATTGGTTAAAACAGTCCAATATGGTATTTCAGTTACCAAATTATGAAATATTGAGTACATTTACTCGGCAAATTACAATTAGAGGTGGTTCAATTATTTTATTAAAAAATAACATTAAAGGGAAAGAACGTAAAGATATTGTAGCACTTTCAAATGAATGCATCATAGAATTATCATGTGCAGAACTTGAGAAACACATAATTATATGTGTGTATAGGCCTCCTAACTCAGACTATGAAAAATTTGAGTCTACCATGGAAGATGTACTGAAGTTAGCATTCAAAAGTAACAAATTTATTTTGGTATGTGGGGATTTCAATATAGATCTTCTTGTTGATAGTCCTATAAGTAATAAAATTAGAAACCTTTTTAAAAGTTTTGATCTTGATCATATTTTCTTTGAACCTACAAGGATTACGTCCACTACAGCAACCTGTATTGATAATATATATTGTAATTTTAGTATTTTAAATAAATCTATAATAAATACATTGCCGTCAGACCATTGCGGACAAATAGCAACATTCGCAAGTAATGAAAAAAACGAGATTATATATAAGTTCTACAGACCAACAACAGCATTTAATTTACAGAAATTTAAAATCAAATTAAATGAAAGTTTACAGTTTTTAAAATTTGACAATATTGATCCAAATATATCATATAGTCGTTTTTTCAATATAATAAAAACGCATTTTGATAAAAATTTTACAGTAAAGAAATTTAAAGTCCATAATTCTAAGTATGCTGAATGGTCAACGTTAGGTATTTATATAAGTAGGAAAAATATGTATCAACTATATGATATTAGGTCCTATTTGCGTGATCCTATATTCGACGAATATGTTAAAAACTATTCAAAGATATTCAAGAAAGTATGTAAGGCTGCAAAGGCACTTCATTTAAAAAATAAAATAAAGTCTTCTAAAAATAAAATAAAAGCTACCTGGAATGTAATAAATACGGAAACAGGTAACACTAAGTCGCGACAGTTAGAATATGAGGTAAAAG